ATTGGAAGGAAGTTATGATTTTAATAATAATATTTGATATTTAGCCATTTGTAGAATTGAAAATTCAATGATTGAAACAAATACTATGAATTGTACACCTCCGTTATTAAAATAGAATGTAATCTAAAATTTATTACATGATACAACCAACCACTTACTAATTTAATTAGTAAAAGTGTAATAATGTTACGAAAAATTCTATGTTCCTAATAATATGAACGATTTTAAGTTCATTTTGAATACTATCAAATATTAATTTTAATTACCTAAATTCTGTTGATATCCTATTTGCGTCGATCATATTATTTCAATGCGATGACTAATAATATCAGCATTATTAACGGCCCCACGTGAAAGAACGTAACATATAATTATGCACTATTCATCTATATTCAACAAATAATATCATATGATTTATATCAATAAGATGATTCTATCTCTCTTTGTATGGTCAGACAAATACAGCATTATTATATTAGTATTATAATAAATACTATTTAATTTAATATAATTATACAAAAATGCTTTAAATATGAATAAAATAAATTATAAAAAATACGAACACGATTGAAAACAACGACGAAATTAACTTTTACGTAAGTGAATTGATTTTATTATTTCCTGTAAAACGGAGTAGAAAGCCTATAAATAATGTAGTTTGTAAGGACTAGTAGTTCGAATTCTAGAAACAAACATTTTAATAAAGATTGAAAGGCATACAAAAATATTTTCTCAGGCCTTAAATCATCCCTTATGTTTGACAGTGGAATATACCGGACAAAATATGTTGGCAAGGTGGTCAAACATTTTACGCCGTGTAAACAAAGCTTGTTTCCCCGCAAAACGTTACATCGTTAAAACACGTCGAGGATGATTCATCGACGGAAGGGGTCAAAGTATCGCCAGTCGAACGTGTCTATCGGAAATTGAAATCATCGAACAGTTCCGTGGAAATTCTACGTGTACACCAACGACACGGTATAATAAAGCGGGAGATGGAAAGTTCTTATTTACGACCGATTTCGTGGGCTGAATAAACGTCTTCGTTGTACGTCTCCAGAATTTTCGACTCCCCTCGTTCTTGAATTTAGTAGCGTTTATACGGGTGTATAGTCGTCTCTCTCGCATGGAAAATGGAAAATGGAAAATCGAGATAAAAACCCTATCGCCTATCCCGGCGACAACAACCTCTAATACTACCCCTTCGCACACGCTGCTACCACCCTCGCGATCGCCCGCCCTAATATCCGTTCGTGCGCGCCAGAGAAATTCTGTTAATTGCCTGATACTGTTCTAACGAGAGTCAGTTTATAAGCGTGCTCCTCCCACTCCAGAGAGACCTCTAGATTATTACGATCCCCGATGATTTCGATAGATATCGAAATCCGGGGGCAGAGGCGGGTACAAATCCTGCAATCTCGGAAGAATTTCGATTGAGGTGTTAAAATAACAACGGTGAAGTTCGATTTTATTTCGGTTCGTAATTAGAAGAATTTTCGCTCTTCTAATTTCAAAGAACGACGATGGGATCGGGGGAATATCGTATCAAAAAATGGGCGGTACGATATTTCCCCGTTATAAGTGCGTCGTTCCCGTCTTGTTATAAGTACTCTGGCGATCCTTTCCTTCGCGATACGCTGCGAACGGACCGACAGATCGGAGAGGCAACGCGAAGCCCGCTCGAGACTTGGAAAAGAAAAGGGTCAATGTCTTTTAACGAGTTTAGATTGTTTAAAACGTAACTCGAGCTATCGAGTTATTGGATATCTCTTTTAGAAAACAGTATTCAACACTATACAGGATGTTTGACCACCCCTGGGAAAAAATTTAATGGGAGATTTTACAGGCCAAAATAAGACGAAAATGAAGAATACCAATTTGCTGATTGAGACTTCGTTAAAGAGTTATTAACGTTTAAACTTTTGCCTGTGGAACGACAATCTGTGAGCAGCTGCTAGCGATTCTCAGTTAGAAAACTGTAAGGCTGTCGATACGTCACTAAGTAGTTTCTCATGCTGAGTGAGAACCACTATCGTGCGCACGTAGCTGTTCGCAGATTGCCGTTCTACAGGCGGAACTTTAAACGTTAATAACTTTCTAACGAAGCTTCAATCAACAAATTGGTATTCTTGATTTTCGTCTTATTTTGGCTTATAGAATCTCCCATTCGATTTTTCCCCAAAGGTGGCACCCTGTATACCAATAGATATTGTATAATAATGTAGTAATAGAACATTATTTACATTCATGTGATTTAATTTGAATACTTATTTACGCCTGCAGTAAAGTCCTACATCTTTTATTTAACTTTCAATATTTATGCTTTACAATCGTATATTATTGCGATAGAAAAATATAGCGTGTGCATAAATTATCTACTAATTTTAGTAGACGCTCTCGCGTTACGATATTTAATCTGGTTTGAAAATTAAACGTACATGGATGCAACAACAGTGTTTCTGACAAGAGTAATCGTGTTGAACGTATTTAATGTACACGCTAAATAAAACGAGAGCAGCTGGTGTTTCCGATATTTAAACTGTTCCGCGAATTTCCTATTTCATTATTATCAGGTCCATTCCTTGCGTGCTGAATATTCTCCGATAAAATTCACGGTTGAAATTTTGCTTTCCGGTGTACGGTATTCCGTGCAGTGAAATGTATTCTACAGTGACATTTAAATTTACTGCCCGTGTAATGATACGGTGCTCTCATGATAATACTTCCAGGATACATGTTAACAGAGAAATTATATCCGTGTGCTGTATGGAACCAGAAATTAAGTTTTGTGCGCGTGTAAAAGCCTTCCACTTGAATATAATAGTTCGTATGTAATTTTGATTCAACGATTCTAGGTCAACATGAAAGCTTGTTTGTTTTATGATTGATCGTTATGTTTAATTATTAATAAAGAATCGTTTACAAAATATTAAAATAGAATACAGTCAGTGGAGAGAATGTTTAATTTCTAGCGGGAGGAATTGTAATTCGTAAATGCAGGTTTTAAGAAAATCTTGAGATCAAACGAAGTTAATTTTGAAATCTTCTTATAAAAGGAATATTTTTATTACACCATAATTATTATTTCTTATAATAAATATAATATAATAAATATATAATTTTTATAACAAATTATAATTATTTTGTAAATTATAAAAACTGCATAAAATATTTTGCTTCGACTTTAAAAAATACTAACTTAAGGAAAAAAACTAACGTCTTCTCCATCCATTAAATTTTGAATAGTTACTGTGAAAAATGACTATATGTAATTTTAAAATCACTTTATGGTTCGTTGAATAATATTATATTAAAAATTGAGGTTTTAAGTTTCGGATTTTGTAACAGTATTTTAGTCCCTTCTGATACTTGTTATTCACGTATTTTTCCTCTGCACTTGCTTAATTAAGGCCTCGAATAAAATTTACAAACTGCTCTTCTACAGGTTTTAAAACTTATTATCACCCTATTTCATGAAAAATACAGCGCTGGATTGAAATAAACGAGTTTAAGCTGGACGTCTTTTCAACAACTGTGCTTGAAAAATAATTATTTTCGCGCCGCTACATTTGTCCGGAAACAAGCATTAAAATAAAATTTTTAAATTTTAAATCGTTCGTATTGTAACCATTTTTGTATCGTAAGAAAATTTATAAATACAATTTTTCTTGTGGAGATTAATTTACCACTGCATAAATAATGTATTGTTTATACAATGGAATAAAATTTTTGTTTTACGAGAATTATAATAGTGTCGTAAATAAGCTACGTAGAATTGACATTGTTAACATAACTGAGCTAGGATGGAAATTAGTACGCTTTGTATTTTTAATTAAAAGGTTGCTGAAAGTGATATTCATTTGATCACAACGTTACTTAATCCAAGCAAGAGGTTTTTAATTAAAAAGGAAATGGAAATAACGCGTTGAAGCATAGAGTATTAATCCTTTCAATAATGTAAAATGGAAAAAAACCTGATGGAATATAACATTCGCTTTTTCTAAACAGGAAATGCATGTGCAAAAATAAAATACTATTTAGAGAATTAATAATAATTTTATAAATGTTCGCCGTCTCAATTTAAGACATTTATATCCTTCATTAGAAATTACTATTTCCATATTTAATATTACAAAATCTTTAGTGTATCTTATTTTTGCCAGGATATTCATAGTTTTCTCTTTGGAAAATGTAGAATTAGATTAATATATGCAAAACACACTTACTGGAAACAAAATTTAGGAATTTATGTTTTGTACAATTCAAAAGAGTGAGTTAAATATGAAGGATACTATATATTATACTGTACATTTAATACACTATAACAGTGTTTCTCAAAGTAGGATCCCTAGATGACTATGAAGTCACAAAAATAAAGAACCATATTATATGTATAATGGAATTAAAGAAAAATTTAATAATAATTCTCTGAGAAAAGATCTAGGTTAGGGACCACCAATATACATTTTAGATTATGCCTAAAAAGGGCCTCATACATTGGTCGAAACGTCACAATTAATATACTTTCATATATCGTTCCCATAACTAAAAAAAAAAATCTGAATTTTTATCCCTTCAAACAATTTCTGTTTCGTCGAACAATCATCAAAATTTAAATATTTGTATTGCTATTTATAATTTCCAAGGGTGAGATTTTTGAATCCTTAAAATCTGGAATACTTTGCGATTTTTGCTACTCTGCCCTTCCCCTCTGAGCTCTTTCAAATCGATTACTAATCGTAAAATAGTACATGCCAATTTAATAGATAAGCATCTTCAAAGAAAGCATCTTTCCGTTTCCTCAAAGTTTATAAATAAATCCCGAAATGGTACGAAACACGTTACAAAACGGAAGTTACACACTAAGCGTAGAGGAAGAGGAGCAATTGTTAGCAAAGCGTCGCCCGTAATTAAATTCAAATCGAACGGAGCTAACGAAAATCGATGGCACATAATCGTTTGTATTAGCGTTCGATGTCCACAAACGCGTATTTACTTACCCTGTTCCTGCGCCCAATTGATAAGAGACGGTACACGGGCATCAAAACTGGAATAACAGATCTCGAAACGTGCGGAGGAGTCCAGGCCAACAGTCTCGTAATTGGCTTTAACTCCGCAGAGTAGCGCCGTGGCACATGCCGAAGACTCTCCAACTTGGGCATCCATGTTGTAAGTCTGGAAACGAACGAAAGAGGAAGAGGAACTTTAATTAGTTTGCGACATCAGCCGTCTCGTGCAGAAACACGATGACCGCGCTACCAACATTCGCGACAGGGCAAACAGTTGGTCTCGATCACGTCGATATTCGCGGCCCGTTGACCTTTAAACACGCATTACACGAATTTCGTTCGGTTGAATAGCATCGAAGCGGATGACTCGTCGTGCTGCATAGTGTCGATGCACTAGTAAGATATACTATATGATACAAGGACGTCCGGAAACACACGACGATGACCGAACGCGACAAGAAAGTAGCTGTTACCAGGTAACAACATTAATTACAGCGGGGCCCATGTACGCCCGCCAAAAGGTCTAAAGAAACCCCCCTGACCCGTAGCAAGAATAAGTTTATGAAGCCATCGACCATCGGTTGTCTTCCACGCCGTTTTATAATCCGCAATTTGGTTCTCTATTTTAGGCTTAAACATTTTTCAGTTTTATTTCGTCTTGCATGACTTATTGTTAGTAAGGTCAAGGCGCTTCATAAAAATTATTACCTGCTACGGTCGAGGCACGCGGAATTTCCCGGACGTCATTCGATGGTGCCCTCGGTACCTAACGGTGACCGATGGCTTGGAGGCGGTCACCTGTAATATTTTCGACAAATACTTCTCCAATCAGGGAAAACGACCGCCTTCCATGACAAAATTCAAAATACCACAGCAGCCAATCCGCGTGCCTCATCCCCGTCAGAACCCAAGGCCGATTTGTATTTAAGGGTAGCTTTTCTGACGGGGAGAGCATAACAACAAAAAGTTTGAATCAGTTACCATCATATACACATTTTTTAAACCAGGAAACAAAGTTAAACAAGAAAGGTGAAGACCGCACTGTAGTAGACTAAGATAGATTATTAAATATTAAAAATAGTTAATTGTATCTCAATTATTACACCAACCACCAAATATTCAAGCGCTATTAAGTTACCGCTTGAAGCGCATCACAGAACCAGAAAAGGAGAAGTGTGCGCGCTGAACAGTAGCAGATCGACGGACAAAAAGGAAGCGTGAATATGTGTAGGAATTGGGTACAGAGAAAGACCAATGAAATACATTTTTATGGGGGTTCTCTCACATTACGGGGATAAGGAACCACTTCTCTAAGATTCTTAGAATTTTTAAATAATTTTCAATTCATCCAAAAGTTACGATTTTTTAAACATACGCATTTTCGGAGAGACATTTCTGGCCTGAAATTATATTTTTGGTAACGAATTTTTTTCTCGAAAATGGTTAGGATTTCGAGGGTATGTCTATTCACCAAAAATGATTGTAATTAGCCCCCACAACAGAAAACAATTTTTTCATAACGATTTGAAAGTTTTTAATTCTTTTAGGCACCTACCTGTCGATTTTTCTTAAAAATTTGTTTTTGATTTCTAATAAAATTGTTTGACGCTGTACGGAAATGTTATGTAATACTTTTTTGTAGGTACCCATGGGCTCTACTTCACAATTAAATGTCATTGAGATACATTCGCTATTATAGGAGTTATGACCGTTTGAAAATTGGACCATGTTTATGGGGGTTTTCTCATTTTACGGAGTTAAGCAACAACTTATCGAACATTCTTAAAATTTCTACATATTCTTCACTAAAATAGGCCTTGTTTGCAATTCGAAACATTACAATCCTCCAATCCGTTCGGGAGTTATGATGTTTTAAATAAACGCATGAAATTTTAGGGGAATTATTCATTCAAGATTAGACATTATGTTTTCGGTAATGAATTTTTTTCTCGAAAGTGCGTAGGATTTCGAGAGTATGTCTATTCACCAAAAATGATTATAATTAACTTCTCTAACCGGAAATAATTTTTTCACAATGATTTATAATTTTTCCATTTCGCCAAAAAATGTCTGTCGATTTTTCTTAAAAATTCGTTTTTAATTTTTAATAAATCTTCTTGCCGCTCTACGGAAAAGTTATTTAATACTTTTTTGTAGGTATTCATGAGCTCTACTTCATAAATAAATTTCAATGAAATACATTCACTATTGTAGGAAACCATTAGAATCAACTACTGCTTCCTCGAATCCTCGAAGCTATACGAAGCGCCAGAACGTATACAAGGTGGCTATGCATTAGTGTGTGTCAGCAGTTTCCTTCGGACACCGATCTGCCGTCTGATAATAGTGCCTTTTTCAATTTCTCCCATAGTCAACTCACATGTATTTACGCATACACTACAGTTGTTTGCCCATCAACTATGTCAATACTAATCAATACTAATTCAGTGAATAGTTTCTCAACCGACCGTCATCCGTGAGAGTCGGTATGACAGTGAGGTTGGGCCACCTAAGTCCATAAGGTGTAACGTCTACTCGTATACCTCGTCTGTGATATCGCGTCCACGCTTTTATCAGAGACTATATGAAACGCATGAAGACGTCCGGAAATGGACGACGATGACCGAACGCGAATACAAAGCGTCAAATCGACGGACAAAACGAAAGCGTGAATACGTGTAAGAATCGGGTGGAATTCGTTAATATTAAATATATATTTTAGAGTGATTTGTAGTGTATTATAATTATCAACAAATCTGTATGATTGAAATAAATGTTTTATATTTTAGAAAACATACAATGCTCAATTTTAAGTGTTTTCAAAATGGAATATTTATGTTAAGGATTCTAAAGGAACTTTAACATCGCGTGGTTTATGATACTGTGGCGTCGCCTCCCATGCTCGCCACCAGAGGGGTCGCGCTCTCACAAACACTCAACCGACCCCTCGGTTGCTATATACAGTGAGTGTAAAAAGTATTCGTACACTAGTCAATTTGAACAAAAACTTTGCAGAACTTTGTTTATTACAAAAGTATGTTAACAAAAACATACATACATATTCTTAGAAATCTCTGGAACAAATGTCATTAACAACAAATTATTTATTTATATTTATTATGAAAATATTAACAAATTTCCAGAAATTGATCTAAAATATACGCGTAATAAGTATTCGTACAGTCTTTGATTCGTAACATTCCACATAGAACGATTACAAGATAATCCATGATATGTAAACATACTTAGCATCAGTATGTCTGGAGACGCTGCCGGTATAGGTAGTATCCTGAATTCAAACATTATCAACGAAATTATCAGTAAAATGGGACGAAAATGCAAGGAAATCTCTGAAGAAGAAAGGAAAATTGTTATAAATTTACATAATAAGAGTAAAACACTGAGTGAAATTTTTAAAGTTTTAAATTGACCGAGGTCCACGATTCAAGGAATCATTGACAGATATGGCGATCGAAAAACTGTAAAAAATAATCCAAGAAACGGACGTAAACGAATAATAAATGAGTATACCGGCCGATGGATAATTCGAAAAATAAAGCAAAATCCAAAGATAAGTGCGGTGAAAATCACAGCTGAACTTAAAAATGATCTGGACATTAATGTATGCAGTAGCACAGTGCGTAATTTTTTACGGGATAGAGGATATCACGGCAGAGTAGCTCGTAAGAAATATTTCGTAAATGAAATTAATAGAAAGAAACAACTGCAATTCGCGAAAGAGTACGTTAATGTTCCTATGGAGCACTGGAACCGTATTATATTTACTGATGAGAGTAAATTTAACATATTTGGGTCAGATGGACGATGTACAGTATGGCGGAAAAAAAATACCGAGTACGAAAAAAGAAATTTAAAGGCGACCGTAAAGGGGCTCTATGAGTGCGAGCGGGGTTGGATCCCTCCATTTTATCGATGGTATCATGGATCACAAAATGTACATCGATATTCTAAAAGAGCATCTTCAGGTTAGTGCAAATAAAATGCAGTTACAGGGCAATTATATATTTTTGCAAGATAATGATCCAAAGCATAATGCTTATAATACACGTCAGTGGATCCTATATAATGTACCGCAGCAACTAAAAATCCCTCCACAGTCTCCAGACGTAAATGTGATAGAGCACTTATGGAGTCATCTTGAAGAAAAAATTCGAGACCATCACATTTCTTCGAAACAAGATTTAAAAAATGCACTTTTAGAGGAATGGAACAAAATTTCTAGTACTATAACCAAAAATTTAGTAAATTTAATGCCGCAAAGGCTTAAAGCGATTATACAATCTAAAGGAAATCCCACTAGATACTAAAATAGCAAATAGACTGATTTTTGTTACGTTTATGTACTAAAATTTACGTGTACGAATACTTATTACGCGTATATTTCACGCCAATTTCTGGAAATTTGTTAATATTTTCATAATAAATATAAATAAATAATTTGTTGTTAATGACATTTGTTCTAGAGATTTCTAAGAATATGTATGTATGTTTTTGTTAACATACTTTTGTAATAAACAAAGTTCTGCAAAGTTTTTGTTCAAATTGACTAGTGTACGAATACTTTTTACACTCACTGTATGTATAAATTCCTCGAACGACTTCTCAATATCCCAGTCGTCTAAGGCAGGGCCTGCTAGGAAGCGCTACCTCCTTTCCTTTTCTGCCCTCCTACGATTCTCACGAGATCCTACCCGCAGCGAAGAAGCGCCACAATACGGTCGTGACTTCTCCGCTATTTTTGAGGATTAGGACTTCCAGACATTTTTACTTGACAAATTAGGATATGGTCATTAAGGAACCTCCAAACTCCACATGGGTCTTGGAATTCTTGGAGCTCTTCCTTGCCTCAATAGCGATTGACGTATCGACTGCAGACCACCGGGGTCTTGGGAGTTTTGGCTTTCCCCAAATTGTTTATTTAAAAAGGGGCAACGTTCTCGCGCTCACCCTTGCATGGTATACCTGGATACTGGACAGCAGGGTGGGCGGGAATGTTTCAAAAGGCAAGAAACGCCCTGCTAAGGTAACGACTTGGAGGATTGGCTTGACCAATCCTCCCACCGGTTAGCGCTACGCGTTTTCATCACCTTGATAGGGAGAGCCGAAGTTAGGTTAAGGGTAGCATTAGGTTTTGGGATCAGATTAATTTTGACAGAGTTGCGCCTTCACATTTAATCTCCGCAAGAATTCATTCCTGCGTAACAGAAGCATCATCTTCTGTGGGCAAAGGACAAGGTTATCCGGTTTTTTCCCAAACACCAGTTTGGGTGGTCCGTTGAGCACAAGGTTAAGGGTATAAGGTTAAGGAGTGGCTGTACAATAAGCATCCACCACGAGCAACATTTGAAACAACAGGAATATCTGTTTGTGGCCGAAACAATTTAACTTTTATAGAGACATCTGTGATTGTTTTCTCGAAATGTTTCATATAGCTCCAATAAGTTTTTAAAGATTTCCGATGATTTCCATCTTTGAAAACAATTGTTCTCATAAGTATCTACTTATGAAAGATACAAATATTGTTTGAGTATCTCTATTGCAAAGAAAGTCTTTTCAATAATTTATTACAAATGTCTTCGCAGTAGTTACAACACACCTGTTGGGAAACACCTGTCAGTACAAAGTATGATTTATACGACTCGCGAAGAAAGTGCGCCTCGATTTCTGGTCTCTTTAAAATTGTCGAAATAAACAACACCGAAAAAAACGATGATAAATCGAGCGCGTGTCACTCGTCACCGATGACCAAACAAAAGCTATTCTTATCAGGGACGATAAAAGTATTCCTCGACCGAGGCTATCCCGACAGTTCGTTTTCATAAATTATTTCAAACGTTACCGCGAATGCATTGTGTGTATTATCATAAAATCGGTCTTTCTTTGACCGTTGCGTGGGTGGAATAGAGAGAGAGAGAGAGAGACCGGAAGCTCAGTGTACATAAATCTAGTCGGCATTATCCGCAGGCAGGGCTCGCTCGTGTAAAATACTGCTGACTTTCGGCGGTTTTCTTATTATTTGAAAACCGTGCAGGCCACTCGAGTGCCGAGTGATCCGAATAGTAACGCGCCATCGTTTCGATCCAGCTGTTGAGGAAGGGGCGCGTTTCCGGTGGCTAGAAATCCAGTAAAAAAAAGTATTGTGTTATCGTAGCGTGACAGTAACATCCGCGACACATGGTAGATTGATGAGAGACGTAGTCGATCACAAACTGTGGATTTAAATTGACTTTTGCTAGTTTTTTACAAGAGACACTTAACTGTTCGATTCAATGTCCTCGATCGGGGCTTTTGAAATTTTTATGGATCGAAACGTGCAATGCATTTTTTAAAAGAAAGGAGTAGTTGAGTGACAAATATTTTTGTAAATAAAAATTTACAGAATAATGAAATAAAAATTTTAAAAAATTTAAAAAAAATAGATTGTATGCCTTAGTAACTATATTGTGCCTTAACAATATTAAAGATTCACGAAATGTAAATTTGGATATTAAAAAGACCACCATTTTTGTTTTAAATATTTGCCAACTTGTTTTCTAAACAGAGACAAAAAGTCTATTAAAATAATGGTTTGTTTCATGACGTTATCAATCGCGAGTTTGTACATTATCGAGAATATTCATGACAATGTAAGCGATTGTCGAAGCGATCATATCGCAGCATTGATATCAAGAAAGTTTTATAAAAAGCCTCGACATTATCCTCATAATAATAGCGCATCTCTAGCGATCTGGCATGATCAGAATATCGTTGCAACGTCACAATAACCTGCAGGGACGTCTCGGAACAGAAACTACATTTCAATATCGTTGTCAGCTCTTCAACATCAAGCATTATAATCTAAAAGAAGTCGTCCATAAAAATGACAATTCTTTTAAAATTAGTGGATGCTTCCACATCATTGAAAAACCACAACGAACAAGAACTCTTTCAAACTAATAAATAATTGAGCCAATGCAAATTTTTATACATAATCCAAATACAAATGCACGCACTTTATTAACGAATGAATAATTAAAATGTTTAATACGGGATTTTCTACAATCTTAAATACTCTGTGAATTACGATATATCAATTTTAAAATACATTGTTATACTTAAGAAAAAAATAAAGCTCGCCACTGTAGCCTTCCTTAACGAAGACGCGCATATCATCGATACAGAACACTGGAGACTTTATCGAATATTGATAAGATAACGTAAACATGACACTGTACGTTTTCGTTGTGTGTAGGTAGACGCAGTTCACGATAAATCACGATTGATAGCGGTCGCGAGTAGTTGCAACCAGGAACGAGTGGAACACTGTCCAAGATGGATGTGCCAGATTCTAAAGTGAATCAATCGAAGAAAAACGCGAAGAAGACTGCGGATGATACACAAGATGCTTCCGCGTCAGGTCAATACAATCAGAGCAAGATGGACGCGTGGATGTGGAAAAACCCAAAGTGAGTGACACTTTCACGCTTCGTAGCAACTGTTTCTAGCCATCAAATATGTTCTGGGAATCTTTCACGTTCGATGATACTGCTTTTGCATTTACTAGCGTTAATACAATAAAATTGGAATTTTTTAGTATTAATTATATTGTTAATAACGTGTAAATTTGCAACATCTGTTGGGTTATTGAAAATATACAGGGTGCTATAAGCGGAAAGGGGGATGAATCTAGGTGAAGGAATAAGTAAAAAATGTGAAGTGACATTTTTTCAAATAAAACTACTAATTTAATTTACAATAAGTATTTAACGATTTGATGAAATTGTTAAATGTTGAGCTTTCACACACACAACCATCGAAGTATTAAACCTGTCTCGAAAAGGGTTAACCGTTCAATTTGTCAAAGTTCCCAAAGAAATTCGTGCACGAACGATTAGCACGCGAAATCGCGTCACCGTAACGTCCAGTTAGTTTAGTGTTTGGTTCCCTTCTCTGTCCGTGCGAAGCAACAGCCCCGAATCAGCCCCGCGAACAACGCGAAAAGCTAGAAAAAACGGGTTGATCGAGAGGGGGCGTCGTACGCGCGAGTGGAAACGGAGACGCACAATCGATTTAGATATTGAATTTAGATAGATGCGACTTCGCTACTGGGGAGTCAACGACGCAATAAACGGGGGGGAATGCGAAACTCCGCGTGATCTAGTGCGGCTATATTGCGGGCGTGCACGAAAGTGCATGGAAGCACTGCATCGCGAAGACATGAAATATGCATATTTACCGGGAGAAGATTAACATTTCCACGCTGGGAATTAATTTTACTCGGGGAGTTCGCGGATGTGTATCGGGGTTGGGAGGAGTTTGGTATTACCAGGAGCCTGAAATACGAACTGTTTTGAGAAGGTCCGTGGGAACAACCGCGGGGACGAATCGTTCGTTCATTTTTGGCCGCCTTTGAAACACGGAGTGTGCTTCGCAAGTGTCCCTTTCGCTCGGGAGTAATGGATACTTGTAGACGAGAGAGAAATCTTTATATACCCGTGGAGTTTGTATGGGGACACCTGGTTTATACTCGAAAAGCAAAGCAAGGAGTCTCAGCCTGATTTTAATTTCAGTATTTTCCCGGACAGATTTTGTAAAGAAAGTAAAGAAAGTTAGATTTCGTGAGATTTTGTGCAGAAAATGTGAATGATTCTCTGTACTGAATGAAAATTCTCTGATTTGCTGAACAAAATTCATGGGGAGTATATAGTTCAAGCATTGATTCACGCTCGACAAAATTGTTTAGAAACGGAGTTGTGGCTGCTATTATGGAAGAAGTTCTGCTTCAAACGCTGGGACACCGAATATTCGATGAGTGTATACAGACTGTTCGGCCACCCCTGGGGAAAAATTTAATGGGAGATTCCAGAGGCCAAAATAAGACGAAAATCAAGGATACTAATTTGTTGATTGAGGTTTCGTTAAAAAGTTATAGAAACATTTCCGGTCACACAGTATAATTTTATCGAAAAAGTCCACCTTCCTGAATTTTTTTCTCGAAAGTGCGTAGGAGTTCGGGGGTGTATCGATTCACCAAAGTGATTGTAATTGACCCCCTCAACGGAAAATAATTTTCCCAGAACGATTTGAAATTTTTCAATTTTGTCGAAAAAATTGTCTACCCTCCTGAATTTTTTTCTCGAAAGTGCGAAGGAATTCGAAGGTATGTGTATTCACCAAAAATGATTGTAATTTCCCCTCGCAACCGAAAATAATTTTTCCGTGAATGATTTGAAATTTTTCAATTAAATTATTTAATAGCTTATCAACCAAGCCTCAATGAACAAATTGATATTCTTAATTTTCGTCTTATTTTGGCCTCTAGAAACTCCCATCAAAATTTTTCACAGGGATAGCCAAACACCCTGTATACATATAGGAATACGAGGGCGCTCGAGCACTTATGAGAGAGAAGGGTCAAGTGTAGCCCTCTGTCAGCGAAAACTGCAAGCGTCGCCATAGAATATACGATGGAAGAATCCGTAACATTTTATTTTCATACAAATTTGAGCACTTTGGAAACCTGAAACATACTTCTTTGTAATACTATTGGTCTTGGAACCCTAAAGATTGGATCTGATAACGTTCGCCGGTCAATTTTTGCAATAAAAATTAAAACAAATTTAAAAATAAAATGTTACATTTTGTCTAGAGCAAGTAGAAGTACAGTAGAAGTACTAACGTGCCCCACATTATTCAGTTCTGAAAATTGAGAAACAAAATATAATATGAAGACTATAGAAACTCTATGACATAAATATAAATTTAAATATTTAGCATTGTGGGATCAATTTGATATTATAAACAGAAAGAGATTATAGAGTAAAGAAAACTTTGGTGTCAGGAGGAAGAAAAATTGTGGACCCCATCGAACGATTTGGCTAGTGAAGGCTGACTAAAATGTCTGACCAGGATTGATAGTTCTATCTTTACGTAGTGCCTGATGTTCGTTAACTAGAAGCACTCGATCGAATTTTCTAGTGCGACTCATTTTTCGCGAAAACCCAATTTCCAACGGAGATATTAAAGCTGGCTCTATTTTCTCTTTGTACTTTTTAAAACCACTTGCATACGCGGACGCAATATTGCGAGTGGCACCTTTTTCCTTCTTTCGTCGCCAGGCGGATAGCATTATGTGGAAACGTAAAAGGGTCGTCCTGCGTCGCAGTTATTCATCCAGATGGACACAGTACGACGGTGCAATTATCAGGAATGAGGAAGACGGAGCCGATGATATTTATAACACCGTGTTGTCGACCGCAGAGGATTGTTTCGTACGATCCGTACCATGTAATGGAGGAAAAAGCGTGTTTGAGACTCGTTGCATGCATCATCTTAATTCTGATGCATTATTATCTGTGATAATCTTCTTAAAATTCTTATTTAGCTTCAAATTTTGATTCGGGAACGAAAGATGCGTGTTTAGCTGTTTATCAAATTTAACAAAATTTATCATTTCATCACGTACAATGCAATTTTCAAGTCTCTCCTCTATTTGACTGTCGGTTATTTCTAACACAAACTGTTGCAAGTGCCAAAATTGGTATTTGCTAATTTTATATTCCTCTGAGGATAGTTATTCCTTTCATCTTTTTTTAATTTTAAAACTTCTTTTCATTAAAAAATTATACGTTAATCTCCTTGTGTATAAATTACATTTGTAAGTTTAGATTTTTTTACTTCATTTCCAAATGTTTGGTCTCAGCCGATGCCCCATACGAGCTCATCAAACAAATTCTACTTCTTATGCATTATGTAATTCTGTTTATAACTGACACGTATCGATCCCTGTTTAATACCCACATAATTAAAACGTTCTGACGCGATACTTCATCCAGGACGTTGATTGGGTATTAATCCCATCATCGATGATGGTACGTTGAAGTTCCAAGTGTCCTGAATATTTCACCGAACGATCAAAGCGAATTGCACAGGCGTCTAACTTTGCCCAAAGCCCGTTCTAAACAAATTATCAGGGAATAAACGGTAGAAACGTTTTCGAATTTGACAATTTCAGTGGAATTTCTCCTCCTCTCGCTTCAATGATATACAATCGGGTATAATCGGTCTCCGGGGGATTTATATCCGCGACACCGGAACCGTGGGTGGGCGTGGAATGGTCGTTGTAAAATATTTTCGAGCCCAAAGGAAACGCGACGGACCGCCATAATACCGGTAACTCGTTTCTCTTCCAATGAACATTTGTCTGTTAATGGGCGCCGGGTCCGCGCCATTATGACTAGTTTGTAAGCACTCTGCGGGTACCCTTTGTCAACCGAATCTCGTTGTTCGTGTTCGTGAGCCTGGGATTTTCTGTCTGCACGTTCGTCAGCGCGGCTGAATTTACCAAGGGAGAGAGTCTTTCAACCGGGAACGCAATATCTCGAGCCGTTTAAAAGGTTGATCCGCCGCCTCGAAACCGTTTTGTGAATCTTCCCTCTGTCGTTTCACTCTCTTCCCTTTCTCATTCTTTTCTGTGTAGGCGTGTGTGTGTGTGTGTTACACGCTCGATGCACACTGCGCAGCACCTTTCTGAAAGTAAGAATCTTTATATTTTCGAATTCGACGCTTCTCCGCAGAGACGTTTAATTGGAATTCAGAACACATCAATTGGAAACAGTCTTTGTTTCATTTCAAGGTAATTTTATTTGCTGTTTAACTACCTTCGATTAGGGCTGAAATGTATTGAAAAGAAACTTGGCGTTTGTTATGAATTTTCTTTCCCATTTATTTTTACAGAATATTATTTTTATTACACTGTGTTACTTCTATTTACAAAATAGTTTTTTTTTTTAAATATTAACTGGAAAATTATGTCTAATTACATAACTAATATAGAGGTTCAATATAAACACTGTCAACACTAAACAAATCAACAAATACATAGTTTTTTCCCACGAGCGGTCACCCATCCCCAAAGTACTGGATCCGATCGCATCCAATGCAGCTGCACTTTGGTGATCCGATTAGACTCCATTTCCATTTTCCATTTTAAATAACATTTATTAGACATTACATTTGGTAACAAGATACAATAACAATTACATTAGTGTAGATGTTGAATATAAACAATATTTTACAGAAGTTCCGTCTAAGCTTTACCTTCACTTTTCATTACGCTACGTATTTGAACATCGCTTGTTTATTATATATAAATAATGGTAATTCTAATATTACAAAAGTATTTATTCTCGGTGTTTGCAGGAAACTAGTTTGTTAGAAAAACCTGCTTACGAGTAAGAATAGACTCCAATGTCTTCAATGTGCCACAACCGTCCACAAGTTTTATCTTTTAATTCATATAAAATAGGCTCATATCAGTTTTAAAAACTAAATTCATAAGAAACAAGCTTTTCTTCATTTATAGTGAATCACCATTACAGCGTACAAATATGAGTAGAAGTAACTGTATATTAAATTGTGTAATAAGTCCGTTCACGCCAACGATGGTACTTTAATACTTTCTTAT